AGAAGGAAGGAAGGAAAAATGAGCGAGAGAGAAAGAAAGAAAGAAAGAAAGAAAGAAAGAGAAAGAATAGCAGAATCACGGAGCAAGCAAGTTAACAAAATAAGAGTTGGAAGGGACCTTGGAGGCCTTCTAGTCCAACCCCCTGCTATACCATTCCTTCCTTCCTTCTTCCCCTCTCCCTCCCTCCCTTCCTTCCTTCCTCCCTCCCTCCCTCCCTCCCTTCCTTCCTTCTTTCCATCTTTCCTCCCTCCGTCCCTCCCTCCCTCCCTTCTCCATCACTGGAGGTTTTGAAGACAGCCACTTGTCTGAAATGGTCTAGGATCTCCCTCTCGAGCAGGGGGTTGGACTAGATGACCTCCAAGGTCCCTCCCAGCTCTGTTGTTCTCTTCACTTGCTCCCCTTGCTTAGGAATGGAAATTGTGAATCCCACCTACAATCGATCATAAGCGGTATCCGAGGGTGGGAAATTCTTCCAGGAATTTTTAAGATCCTGCCCCCAGCCGTCAGCTAGCCTTAAAGAGATGGTGTGAATGTTGGTGTCATTTCAGACCTTGCGCTGTTCCTGGCCCCAGGCAGTCTTGACAGGGAGATAATTGTTTGGATAAAGATGAGCTCAGCCAGTTCCTTGCCAGGAAGGCAAGGGGAGTGGGACACACACACACACACACACACACAGAAAGAGAGAGAGGGAGAGAGAGAGAACGTCGTCTTTCTATGGATTCCCTCGGGAACAAAACGCTTTAAAATTCTTTTTTTTCCCTGCAGTTGTTTGCAGCTGATTTCGGTGTGCAGCCTGGCTTTTAATGCATGATTACACCTGGGCGAAGCTGTGGCTTGGACACATGTTTGTCTGTCACACTTAGAGGGCCCTGCCCCCCCCCATGCATGTTCAGAACCGTCCTGCGTTCCCAAACACAACCTCCACTTGCTCATTCAAGGCTCATTTTCTCAGTTGTGGGTTTCCGTGGCTGGGTGCCGAGGCCAAGCCAGAAGATTGATGGCTGTTGTGCTAGGTTTTCTAGGCAGAGGCCATCGGTCTTTGCACGCTAGCGTGTTGGGGGTGTGGGGGAGAGGGAGGGGGAAGCTGGGGAAGGTTGTGGGACACACGCGTGTGACTTAAGGGGCTTCCAAGAAATCAGAGCGGGTGGGGAAGGGTGGGAAAGAGGCTGCCGTTCTCCGAGGGCGTTTGGTCTGTGATAGCAGTAAAACCTCCTCAGTCAGGGGCAGCCTATATTAGAGAAACATGCCTAAAAGGATGCTTCCGTGCCTAGGGCGGGACTAGAACTCCCTGTCCCCTGGCGATTGGCCCAAAGTCACACAGTGGGCTGTCATGCTTAAGGCAGGACTAGAACTCCCTGTCGCCTGGCGATTGGACCAAAGACACCCAGCCAGCTTTCATGCCTAAGGCGGGACTAGAACTCACCGTTGCCTGGTGATTGGCCCAAAGTCACCCAGTGGGCTTTCATGCCTAAGGTGGGACTAGAACTCACGGTCTCCTGGTGATTGGCCCAAAGTCATACAGTGAGCTATCATGTCCAAGGCGGGACTAGAACTCACTGTCTCCTGGTGATTGGCCCAAAGTCATACAGTGAGCTATCATGTCCAAGGCGGGACTAGAACTTACAGTCTCCTGGTGATTGGCCCAAAGTCATACAGTGAGCTATCATGCCTAAGGCAGGACTAGAACTCACGGTCTCCTGGTGATTGGCCCATAGTCACCCAGCCGGCTTTCATGCCTAAGGTGGCATTTGAACCCAGCATCTCACGCTTTTTAGCCTGATGCCTTCACAATCCTGGATAAATGGAATGATCAGCCTTGGTTTTATTCTTCCCCGGGCTTCTGATTCTGCGGTCTCAGGAGCCGGCCTCGTCCACACCTCGCACCCTTCACCCTTGAGGCTGAATTGGCAGGAATTAAGGGAGCGATATGGGCCTCAACCCATAAGGAAGGGTTTCTCTAGGAGCGGCGGAGAAAGCAGCGATAAATAAACCTTTTCCAATAAGCAGCAGCAAAGGATCAACCCACGGAGTTTTCTCTCCACCCTGGAGTGTCGTTCTGCAGAAAGAAATATGGGTTACGGGAGGGCCCAGCGTGGGAGGCATCTGGTGGAAACCTTGAAACGGGGGTCCTGCCACCGGGAAGGCAAAATACAGGATCAGCCTGGGTTGTCAATTCCGGTCAAGGATTTCAGCTCTGGAGGGCAGGACCCCCATAGTTCCTCTTTCTTTCTTTTTTAGGAGATAGGAAGGGGGTGCAGAAAGGGAAAAAAAGGCCCAACCAGAAAGAAAGAGAGGGAGACCCTGTGGTTTTTAAAACGGTGCGAATGAGAGAGATGGGGGGGAGAGAGAGAGAGAGGAAGGGAGGGAGAGAAAGAGAGAGGGAGAGAAAGAGAGAGGGAGAGGGAGAGGGAGAGGAAGAGAAAGAGGGAGAGAGAGAGGGCGAGAGAGAGAGAGGGAGAGAGGGAGAGAGAGAGGGAGAGGGAGAGAGAGGGAGAGAGGGAGAGAGAGAGAGGGAGAGAGAGGGAGAGGGAGAGGGAGAGAGAGAGAGGGAGAGAGGGAGAGAGAGAGGGAGAGGGAGAGAAAGAGGGAGAGAGAGGGAGAGAAAGAGAGAGGGAGAGACAGACACAGAGAGAGAGAGATAAAGAGAGAGGGAGAGAGAAATACGAATTAAAAAAATATATATGCTCCGGGTGGGCGGACTTTCAGCACCACGGAGAGCGGACGGGAGGATAATCCCGGTTCCAAGTCTTGATTGCATGATTTTATCTGCTAATCTCTCTTTTTTTTTATTCTAATTAAACCCAGGCCTGGCTTGGCTAGGGAGGGGAGAGGCGGAGAGGCGCACAGAGGTGTGTTGTTGCAACAAAGGCGCAATTTTCTGGAGGGAAGAAATCGTCCCCCCCCCCAAAATGAGGGAGACGGAGCGGGTTGTCCAAATTATGATTTTTAGGGAGAAGGTTTGAAAACCAGACCTCAGTTTCCTGGAGTTCCCCTCAATGGCTGGAGTTGTTGTTTTTTTTTCCCCAAGGATCCCTGCAGGCAAGGATGGAAAAGATATTGGCAAACAGGCCAGGCCCTGATTTCAGAGCTAATTCTGAACTTTGGACACTTCTAGGGAGCTGGTTGCACTGCCCTGGTGGTGGCTGTGGTGGCCCGGAAGCTGGAACTCACCAAGGCTGAGAAACACGTTCACAACTTCATGATGGACACACAACTCACCAAGCGGGTAAGCTCAGCTGCTGGGCAAACAATGTTATGATGTGGGATTGTTGCTAACACTAACGTGGCAGCTTTAAGATGGGTATGGACTTCAACTCCCAGAATTCCTCGGCCAACATGCTGGCTGGGGGATTCTGGGAGTTGAAGTCCTCCCCTCTTAAAACTTGCTGGCTGGGAGATTCTGGGAGTTGAAGTCCACCCCTCTTAAAGCAGGCTGGCTGGGGAATTCTGGGAGTTGAAGTCCATCGGTCTTACATTCAGCACCCTTGAGAAATACTGCATTAAATACTGCATTTCTTTCTTCCATTCCGCAATGCAAACATTATAAATGTTTGCTTTGGATGTCCTTAAGGATATAAGCAATCATTTGTCACCATGATTGCAATGCTCCTTGATTTTGGATTAAAAACCTTAAGGACTAGAGCCTTTATTAGGCTCTAGGTTTAGGGTTGTTTTTTTCAGGTCGCAATTAATAGAGGAAAGCACAGCTTTGCGTGCATTCCTGCATTCACTTTCCCGGCTCCCCGGTGGGGCATACCTTATGATTTATTAATATTTGTTTTGGTTTCAAACTGCTTTTTCCTCCCGATGGGACCCAGGGAGCCACAGTCAATAAATAATACAACAAGCTCCCATTAAAAACAGTTTTGAGAAACGCAATCGTCCGTAAAAACAAATGGTGAAACAGAATGTTGCCGAGGGCAGCAATTAAAAACAAAAAGAATTCAATTAAAAAGCAATTTCAACCTGGCGCAAATGAGTTCCAGTTCAGTGGAGGCAACTCACCCATTCCCAACAATGATGTCTTTAATGGAAGGTTAACAAGCTAGGATAAGGTGGCTTGGGCGTGATGTGGTCGGCCTTGGGGGTGTAGCCGGTTGGCTGCTACGCTTGGCGAGGCCTAGCAAGTCGTGGGATTTGAGCTGCCTTCTGGTTGATGCCCCAAACCAGGATTAAACCACGGTTTGGCCAGTGTAAAATCCCAAGTCACCATCTTGGTCAAACAGGGAACAGAGAAGCCAACGCTGAATGGTTTGGAAGAATCTCCTTCGCTCGTGACCAAACGTTGACATTTTAAAATTCCTTCCAGAACAGCTTCCTCATGGTTGCAGGCCTTGTTGGGAGGGGCTGATGGGATTTGTAGTGCCAGCCCATTCAGGCAGCCTTTTATAGCTAGCTTAGACTTTGAACACCCACCCAAAAAAAGGCAAGCTTAGAGGAAGGCCAGCTGTGAGATAGACTGCCTTGGCACATGGATGTTGGCTCCCTAAAGCCAGAATAACAAGAGTTGGAAGGGACCTTGGAGGTCTTCTAGTCCAACCCCTGCTCGGGCAGGAAACCAGCTTTTTTGCTTTGCTGATTGGCATCAAGTTCCTCCCCCCCACCACCCTTCTTTCATTTGTCTCCATCGGTGAGAAACGGGAGTTTTGCAACACAAAAGCCAAACTATTTTTTTTTAATTATTATTTCCAAAAAAAACCCCACCTCTCAGCCCTGCATGAGCCTCTGAGCATTGTAGGAATTCAAAAAAAAAAAAAAGAACCCACCCAGGCTTTGCTTTGGACTGATCCTCTTGCAAATACTAATATTATAATAATAAAATAAAAATCCAAAGGAAGAACGGAGAGTCCCGGGAATCTGGAGGAGGCAGGAACAAAAAACAAAAAAAACCCACGAATTTCTTGAACTTGAAGGTTTGATGAATGGACAAATCCTCTCGTTGCACAGCTCCCATTTTGTGGAGGAGTTTGCACACAAAAAAAAACCACACACCCCCCCCAAAAAAACCTCTACAGATTCCAGTGGACCCCAAGCGCCCAAATTCCAGAGACCCCTATCCCGAGCTGAGAGGACGCTCCCCCCAAAAAGGGATAAAAGCGCCTCTATTTTTTATCGCATTTTATTCCGACTCCACGGTCCGCCAAGCAGCTGCCTCGCCTCCGAGCTTAGCCATTTTAATTTATTTGATTTTTGCCTGCCTTTCAGCAGCGTTAGTTAAATTGCCTCCCTTGTTCTCAACCATACAGAGGGGGGGGGAGCTTGGAGGGCCTTAAAGGAGTTGGATTGAAAAGAAATCCTTCTTTTAATTGGAGAGGGAATTGATTTAGAAGCCAAAGAGGCAGAGGCGATGTCTTGGGGGGGGGGGGGGTTGAGAGACAGAGATTTNTGACTCAGAAATCATGCTTTTTCCAGAGGAGGTGAACTCATCCGGAGCCTGTCTGTTCAAAAAAAATCCTGTATTTTTTACTTACTTATTTATTTTTTTGCTCTGCCGTGTCACGTTTTCCCGGCTTCGGTTGCTCACCGAAGGGCAGAAAAGAGGAATAATTTGTTTCCCCAAAGCCTGGAGGCTTCATATATTGTTCTAGACATTGGCTACAATCCGGTAGCATTTTATTCACCTTTTCATGCATTTTTTTTTTTTTTGAACCAGTGTTTCGACTCTCGTGCAGGTTTTCCCCCAGAATTGCTGCTGATGTCACAGTGAGAGGAAAGGGGGGGGGCAGATAGGGGGGGGTTGCATTTCCCGTTTTCCGCCTTGCTTTTTCTGGCTTGTTAGCCAGATTTTTGCACAGGGGCCTCTGGCTGAATAAAAGGGATCTCCTAAGCGGCTTTTCTCAACCTTGGCACGTTTAAGGTGGGTGGACTTCAACTCCCAGAATTCCCCAGCCAGCCTGCTTTAAAGTGGGTGGACTTCAACTCCCAGAATTCCCCAGCCAGCCTGCTTTAAGAAGGGTGGACTTCAACTCCCAGAATCCTCCAGCAAGGATGCTTTAAAGATGGGTGGACTTCAACTCCCAGAATCCCCCAGCCAGCCTGCTTTAAGAGGGGTGGACTTCAACTCCCAGAATCCCCCAGCCGGCCTGCTTTAAGAGGGGTGGACTTCAACTCCCAGAATCCCCCAGCCAGCCTGCTTTACATGGGTGGACTTCAACTCCCAGAATCCCTCAGCCAGCATGCTTTAATGATAGGTGGACTTGTTGACTGGGGAATTCTGGGAGTTGAAGTTCACCCATCTTGAATTTGCTGTATTTATTGGCACCAAACACCAAACTTAGTGATTGCCTTAGACAAAAATTAACCTGGGTTAACCCCCCCCCCCAAAAAAACTAACCAGGATTTAAAAAAAAAACACTAACTGAGAGATGTCAAGCTAGGAGATTTAGCCTTTGCCATTTTATTTTACCCACTTCTTCCGAATTATCCCTCGGAGATTAGGAAGAATTATCCCTCGGAGATTAGGAAGAATCGTTGTCCTGGCTGGGGCTGATGGGAGTTGTAGTCTAGATTCTAGAATATCCACCTTGGAAAGAAAGCTGGAACTCTCTCCCGAGGCGAAGAAAAAGGGATTGGAGATTTTGGGATTTGTGTTTCCTCGGGCAGATCAAGAACGCCGCGGCCAACGTCCTTCGGGAAACGTGGCTGATTTACAAAAACACCAAGCTATTGAAGAAGATCGATCACGGCAAAATCCGGAAGCACCAGAGGAAATTCCTCCAAGCCATCCACCAGTAGGTCTCTTGGGGGGGCTGCGGGGTGGGTGGAAACCGGCTAATTTCCAGCTTTCCCCTCCCCCCGTCCTCAAAAAAAATGGGTCGTGCTTCTGCAAAAAGCCGTTGAGCTGAAGCGTAGCTTCTTGCGGTGGAACAATTCGTTTAGCGACCGTTCGAAATTAGGACGGACCTGGAAAAAAAAAGCAACGTACGACCGGTTTTCACAGGGATGACCGTCGTAGCTTCCCCGGGGTCACGTGATCAAAATTCAGAGGGCAACTCGTATTTGTGACGGTTGCAGTGATCCCGGGGGGTCGCCTTCTGCGACCTTCCATTGTTTGAGTGGGGTGGAATAGAATTGTAGAATTATTATAGAATTGTAGAATTGTAGAATTAATTATAGAATTATAGAATTATGATTATAAAACAGAATATAGAATGTAGAATAGAATAGATTATAAAATAGAATATAGAATAGATTATAACATAGAATATAGAATAATAATAATAATAATAATAATAATAATAATTATTATTATTATTATTATTATTATTATTAATTTTTACAATTTTTCTAGGTTGAGGAACGTGAAGATGGAACAACGGAAACTGAGCGATCAAGCCAACACGCTGGTCGACCTTTCCAAGGTGACTAAGGGGGGGACCTGTTTGGATGACCTCTGGGAATCCCGGGGGTCTTTTTTTCCAGCCCTAATGGGGCTTGAGGAGCTCTCCCCCAGCCCCATTTCCTCCCTCCCCCCCCCTCAGTTCCCAGGCTCTGCTTCCTCCAGGCTGCCTCCGGCTTCCCTTCAAATGGGAATTCTCTTTTTTTTTGCAGAAGGAAAAAGGGGGGGGCATCTCAGCCCCCCCCCCGTCTCCTGGGCGGGCTTTCCCAAGCATCGGGTTGCCTAGCAACCCTGTGGAAAGATGCCTGGGAGGTCTGCTTCTATGGCTGCGCGGGGGGGGGCAGCGGCGGCTGGGGGGGTTGGTATTAAGTTCCTTTGCTTCTTTGCCTGCATTCCTTCTTCCCTCCCTCCCTCCCTCCCTGCCTTTTCTTCCTTTTCTCCTTCTCTCTCTCTCCTTCTTTCCCTTTCTCTTTTTTCACCCTCTCTCCCTTTCTCTTTCCCTTTCTCCCTTTCTCCCGCCGTCCTTCCTTCCTTCCTTCCTATCTGTTCCTTCCTTCCTGTCTATTCCTTCCTTTCTTCCTCCCCTCTCGCTTTTTTCCTTCCTTCCTTCCCTTTCTCTTCCTCCCTCTCTCCCTTCTCTGCCTCCCCCCTCCCTCCTTTCCTCTCGCTTTCCCTTCTCTCCTCCCTCCCTTCTTTCCTTCTTTCTCTTTTTTCTTTCAATCCCTTTCCTTCCTTTCCTCTCTCTCTCTCTGCCCTCCTTCCATTCCATTACTTTTTTCTTTCCTTCCCTTTCTTTTCACACACACACACACACACACACACACATACACACACACACACAGATAGCAGTTGCAAAACAAAGTTCCTAGTCCTCAGGTTTGAAGGATTGATTTCAAAAGGGAAACCTCAGGGAAAACCCCACAGCATTTCTGTGGCTTTTTTTTAATGCCTGGACGTTTCTGCAAATTAGACTGAATTTGTGGGGAAAACGCTCTTTATTAAAGGCAATAAAATACAATTGAGTGGCCTAAAACGATCTAGTCCTTCTGCAAAGGAACGATGCCAGCGGCATCAATTTTTTATTCCTCCATCATGACTCGGCCTGCTTCCTAAACCTTAGAGAGGCCTTTGGGGAAAACTTTTATTAGAAGTCAAGTTTCTAGACCTTAAGTCTACCAAGAGAAGTGCATCAGCTTCTTAATATATATATATATATATTTAATGCTTTGAGATAATGCAATTTTTTGGCCAAGAAAGCTGGACCGCTCGGACATCGGTATAAATGAGCAACCGTTTAAAAAAGGATTCGCATTCCCTTGGATGTCGCTGACACCCGCCAGGCAGGTTTTGCGCAAACTAAATGTTGTTTTAAACCAGTGGTTCTCAACCTTTTTAATGCCGCGACCCCAACCGGTCGTAAGTCGAGGACTAAACCGGTCGTAAGTCGAGGACTACCCAACCGGTCGTAAGTCGAGGACTTTCCCTGCCCGGGAGCGCCGCGTATGCGTGGTTCCGCCCCCTGCGCCGGCCGAGGCGTAGCTGGCAAGCGGCAGAGATGGAGCAGGCCGACCACCAGCTGGCCCAGCCCAAGGGAGGTAAGGCACCCGCCGGAAAAGGGGAAAAAAATGGGAAAAAAAATGGCGGACAGCCTTGCTTGGCGACCCCCGTGAAATGGTCGATCGACCCCAAATGGGGTCCCGACCCACAGGTTGAGAACCACTGTTTTAAACAAATAGCCAAGAGGCAGGGAAGGATGGTTTGCCAGCCATGGGGGGAATGGTCCACCTGTTATTCGGACCCACATTTCACAGTGAACTTTGCAGGAACATTTTAAAGGGGGGGGGGGCGGGAAACCAGCAAAGGATGGATGAGATGAAAAGGGAGAAGGCTAAGCGGTGATGGGCGATGGGTCTCCCCGTGGCCAATAGGTCAAATAATGAATCTTTAGGAATCTTCCTGATGGGGAAGGCCTGTGCGGTGGTCTTTTTTCTCGACCATGTTGCCGTTTTGATTCAAGGTGATTGGAATATAAAGGACAAATGGCAAGAAAGATCAACAGAGAATGACGAAAGGAAAGGAAAAAGAAAAGAGGGAAGGGAAGGGAAAGGAAGGGATAGGAGAGGGAGGAAGGAAGGGAGGAAGGAAGGAAGGAAGGAAGGAAGGGAGGGAGGGNAGGAAAGGAGGGAGGGAGGGATGAGAGATGAAGGGAGGGAGGAAGGAAGGAAGGAAAGGAGGGAGGGAGGGATGAGAGATGAAGGAAGGAAGGGAGGGATGAGAGGAAGGAAGGAAGGAAAGGAAGGGAGGGAAGGAGGGATGAGAGGAAGGAAGGGAGGGAGGGAGGAAGGGAGAGGAGATGGAGGAAAGGGAAAGGATGGAAACTGGAGGAGAAGGAAGGAAGAACAATGGAAGGAAAGGGAGGGAGAGAGGAAGGAAGGAAGGAAGGAAGGAAGGAAGGAAAGGGAAGGGTCGGGAATTGGAGGAGGAAGGAAAGAGAAGGAGAAGGAGAAGGGAAGGAAGGAAGGAAGGAAAGAAGGAAGGAAGGAAAAGAGAGAAGGAAAGAAAAACAGAGGGGAGGAAGGATAGAGAAAGAGAAAGGAAGGATCTTAGGGTGGGAAATAACCCGTCTCCCCCCCCCCTTTGCTCGGCAGATGCAAAACGTCATGTATGACCTCATCACGGAGCTGAATGACCGCAGTGAAGACCTGGAGAAGCAGCTGGGGGGCCTGGAGTCCAAGCTGGAGCAGCTGGCCACCCACTTCAGCGCTCTCCCACTGCTGATCACGGACGCCTTGCGCCAGCAGCAGCAGCAGTTCCTGGCCGCCCTGGTGGAGAGCCGGGGGGTGGGCGTGGGGGTGGTGGGGGGCGCCCCCCAGACGCCCCTCTCCGACAGCCCCCTGGGGGTCAGCTCCACCTCCTTCCCCACCCCCTACACGAGCTCCAGCAGCTGTTGAACGTGGCAGAGGAAGACACCACACACAAAAAAAACCACAACTGGAAGGCCAAGCCAAAACAAAACAAAACAAAAAAACAAAAACAAAAAAAAAGCCGGGAGGGGCGCGATCGGTTCCAGGAGAGACTCGAACCCAGCCCTGGAAGCAACGGAAGAGCGCCAGGCGCTGCAGGAGCCTGGGCCTCAAATGGTAGGGTCTCGGCTCCGGGCCCTGAGTAGGGGTTGGGACGGGGCAGGGTCTTTTCCAGCCGGGGCCCCCCCTCCCCTCACTGCTGCCGTGTTTGGTGGACACTCGGAATCCACCTTCAATCTCAGGTCTTCAAAGTGAAAACAAGCCAATCGGAGGGCAGCGCTGAGATGAAGACGGACGGGGGGACCAATCCACTGTGTGGATCCCACGCCACAGGCGACGGGGTTGTTTCACTTCCTCCCTTCCTCCCTTCTTTCATTCCTTCCTTCCTTCCCCTCCATTTCCCTTCCTTTTCTCTTCCTCCTTCTACCCTCCTTCCTTTCTCTCCAATTCCCTTCCTTCTCTTTTCCTTCCTTCCTTCCTTCCTTCCTTCCTTCCTCCCTTCCTTCCCCTCTAATTCCCTTTTCTTCCCTTCCTTCCTTCTTTCTTTTCTTCCTTCCTCTCCATTTCCCTTCCTTTTCTCCTCCTCCTCCTCCTCCTTCTACCCTCCTTCCTTTCTCTCCAATTCCCTTCCTTCTCTTTTCCTTCTTTCCTTCCTTCTTTCCTTCCTTCCTTCCCCTCCATTTCCCTTCCTTTTCCCCTCCTCCTTCTACCCTCCTTCCTTTCTCTCCAATTCCCTTCCTTCTCTTTTCCTTCCTTCCTTCCTTCCTCTCTCCCTTCCTTCCCCTCTAATTCCCTTTTCTTCCTTTCCTTCCTTCTTCCTTTTCTTCCTTCCCCTCCATTTCCCTTCCTTTTCTCCTCCTCCTCCTCCTCCTTCTACCCTCCTTCCTTTCTCTCCAATTCCCTTTCTTCTCTTTTCCTTCCTTCCTTCTTTCCTCCCTCCCTCTCTCCCTGTTTTCCTTCCTTCTCCCTCTCTATTTCCTTTTCCTTCTTCCTGGACAATGTCACCGGGGAGAAGCTGGGGGCCCAACCGAGCGAGAGGCGGCTTTCCTTCCATTTGCTCATCGCTTTTCTGAATTTTCCACCTGACCCTGGTCAGCTCCTTCCCTCCGAATCGCTCGCTACGCCTGGGATGGCCTCCTCCCTCCTGCCGTGCTCTCCTCAAGCAGGCACGTCCGAACGGATACCAAGGAGCCACGCGTGTCTGTCTGCGTGCGTGCGGGGGGGGGGCGGGGAGAAGAAAACCCCATTTTCCTGCCTCATCAAAGGGACCCTTTGGGGGGGGGGTGTGAGCAGGGTTGGCCACGCAGGTAGGCAAAGAGACAGGTAGGAGACTCCCTGGAGAAGTAATTGGGGCAAAGAATGTGCAATTCCTTTGGATTCCCCGGGTCGAGGGAGCTGGCCAGAAAATTGCCCCCCCTCCCAGGCCTGTTTTGAACCCCCCCCTCCACCCTAACCATCACCTAGTTCTCCCCCAGCCCCCTCTTTGGTGGTTTCCCCAAAAGTCTTAAATTCTCCTGGATTTCCAAGGATCAGCTCCCACTGCAAAGGCCGTGTCTGCTTTCCCTGGAATTTATGGCATTCCTTGAAAATGCTGCTTTTTCTGAATTTCCCTGCTTGGGGGCACAGAACCAGGGTGGGGGGAAGAGAAGACTCTAGAACCGAGTGCAGACAGCTTGGCTGGGGATGAGGGGTTAGGTGGCACGCAGCCAAACTGAGATCCCTTCGTTGAAATGGCTCCAGAATGCACCTTCGGGATTGGAAAGTTGTCTGAACAGGAAAACACCCAGGGGCAGACATTCAGGTCAAAACAGGGTATGTAGGATTTCCCCACCTAACCCCCCCCCCCAAAAAAAATAATTCACATTTAAGTGAAAACTCTGCTTGCCTGGAGGAGAAAACCTCCGGGTTATTGATCGCTGCTTTAATCCCCCCCCCTCCTCCTCCTCCTCCTTCCATTTCTCTGTTGCTAGGAAAAAGAAAATTTATTTTTTGCAAAAGGCGAGAGCCTTAACTCCTCCCAACCCCTGCTCTTTTTTTTTTAATTTTTATTTTTGGGAACCCAGCTGATTTAAAAAAAAAAACCACACAAAACGAAACACCAACCGAATGCCAGTCTTCCCTCCTTCTTTCCTTATCATTTAAAAAAAATAATAATAATAAAATTAAAAAGCCAGAGAGGAAAGGAATACATTTGAGCTGGCAGAAGTCCAAGGCTCTGGGCTCAGCCGGAGTGTGGGAGGGAGAGAAAGTCCTTTGTGCGCTTGGCACCTCCTGCAAGGAAGGTTGGTTTTCCCAGATAATAAAAAGCCAAAGAGGTGACATTTAATGTCTTTTTGAACTAGCACAGCAACGGGCATAATTGCCCGGGAGGCTATTAATTAACGTGCAATCCTACTGTGCGAGTTAATTGTCAGCCAAAAAGCCAGCAAGCCGCTTTGAGAAAGAAAGAAAGAAAAGAAAGAAATAGAGAAAGGAAAGAAAGAAAAGAAAGAAAGAAAAGAAAGAAAAGAAAGAAAGACAGGAAAGAAAGAAAGAAAGAAAGAAAGAAAGAAAGAAAGAAAGAAAGAAAGAAAGAAAGAAAGAAAGAACAAATTAGGAGCCTGTCATTTTTCCTTCCTTTTTTGTGCATTTCAAAGAAGAAGAAGAAAAAAAAATCCATTTCTCCCCCTTCTTTATTTTTATTTGATGTTGCTCCTGTTCTTCCCTTCCAACAGCTGAGTGGTGTTCCCAGCATCACAAAAGCCAAAAGGGAGAAGCTGCCAATTTTTTAGCTATAGTAGGAGGTTTGTTCCAAGCCATTTGAGTTGCTTAGGAACCAGAGGCAGTTTCAGGGGGAAAAATAATAATAATAATAAAAAAGACTTTGGACACCCACCCTTTCAGGCCACCCCCCTTCTTCTTCTTCGGCCCAGTTTGCTATGGTGGTAGGGCCTCTCCCACCCACCCCCTCCATCTACCTTCTCCAGCGTGGCATCGCTTGAACCTGAATTGGGGGGAGATTGCAAAAGGGTGCAGCTGAAACCCCCCCCCCAGCCAAAGCCAAAGCACGGAGCCCAGCTTAGTTTCCCCAGCCGGATTCGGCTAGCAGAAAGACAGGCGGTCCTCGGCTTACGACCGCAGTGGAGCCCCCGTGGCTAAGGGAGGCATTTGCGAAGGGAATTTTGCCCTGATTTGGAGACCTGTTCAGGGAATCCACTGCCCTGGTTAAGTTGGCAACGTGGGGGTTAAGGGAATCTGGCGTCCCCTTGTCAGAAGGTTGCAAAAAAGGATGTGTGACACACACACACACACACACCGGGACCCTGCGACCGTCATAAATACGAGTCCGTGGCCAAGCGTCTGAATTTTGATCACGCGACTCCAGGGATGCCGTGACGGTCGTGAGTTGAAAACAGGCACACGTCCTTTTTTTCCAGCGCCGTTGTAGCTTCGAACGGTCGCTAAAATGGACCGTAAGTCAGGGACTCCCTCTAGGCATTTAAGTTCAGCTTTCTGCTCACCAGGTTGGGAGGGGGCAGTTTCTCCTTCAGGAGCGTCCTGGTCATTTTGATTTTTTGGAAAGGTTCCACCGTCCCTATCTTGGCCCGTAAATAAGGCACGGATTGGCTATTTTGAGTTACAGGTCTAATTGGCAGAAATACGACCTGTTTTAGCCAGAGGTGCCATATATAGAACGGTTAGGCTGGACCTTGCTGTATAATTTCATTTTTTTTTCTTTGCAAAGGTGACCGTCTTTATTTCCAAAGTAAACCCTGGGTGCCTCGGCTCGGCTCTTCCAAAGAGCCTTGGTTCATCCAGCTTTGATTGAGAGCTTGACTCGGTTTTAAAGGGTTTGGACAAGTTGCTGCAATTTGGGGGGGGGGTTATGAAGGAAGGAAAGGGAGAAAAGAGAGAGAATTAATACATTATTAGGGGGTAGATTGAAAGCAACCAGCCCTACTTCTAATTTGGGGGCTAGGCGTGGGCCGTTACTATCAGCCCTATATCAACCTTTCATTTAGGAACTGTTCAAAGTTACAAGGGCAGTGGACAATGGGACTTGCAGCCGGTCCTCACACTTATGACCATTGCAACACCCCCTCCCAAGGTCGCGGGATCAAAATTCAGGTGCTTGGCAACCCCGGTTTACGGACGATGGCCGCAGCGTCGTGGGACCTTTCCAACCAAGCAAAGTTAATGGGGAAGTTGGGTTCTCTTAATGACCGGCCGGATATGCTGAACAACCGCAGGGATGGTGGGCTTCACCCCCGTGGTGAAAAAGGTCGCAAAACGGGGCGACCACCTGGCTTAGCAGTTGACTGCCGCCCCGCTTAGCGACAAATTTATTTGTGTTATATGCCAAACTTATGAACCGCCCGTCTCTCTCCTAGAGGAGTTCCTGGGGGTGGTCCTGCTTTTGGGCGTAAGTTGAGGGCTGAGTAGTTAACCCTTCCCCAAAGAGTAGACTTAAGTAGGGGACCAGAAAAAGGAGTTGGGCCTTAAAAGGGCAATGCAACTCAAGCTTGTTCTCTTTTAGGACCCTGGAGAGCGACGGGACCCACGTCCTTTGTCCAATATTATGAGGGCTCCTCAACAGAGTGTCTCAAGCTTGGCAACTCAACAGAGTGTCTCAAGCTTGGCAACTCAAGCTTGCGAATGTTGTTTAACCTCCTCTCTTATTCCCCCAACCTTTCCCTGCAGCCTCTTAGCTTGACCTTCTAACCCTTGGTTGAAAAAAAAAAAAAGGAGAGAAAATGGTGTTTATTTTGCCCAGTTGAAGGAAGGCCTTGAATCAGCCCTAGAGGACCCAGCAAACTTCTCTTTCTAAAAATGCCTCTTGAGCAGGAATTGAGAGGAGAAAACAGGGCCCCTTTTTTTTTTTTTTTTTGCATTCTGGGCCAAGAAACGCAACTGCAAAAATCTGGTGTGAAACACGGGCCATGCACTTA